GCGGTGGACAGACGCACGAACGTTTTCGGAAAAAAAAACACTTTTCGGTCTCAGGGACCCCCAAAAACTGTATTGACGCCGTTGAAATCTCGAAATCGATTCTTTCGAATAACACATAAGTTCCCTGTATCATTGCTCCTGGATTACACGTACGTGTAGGAAAAAGTGAGTATTCTAAGGAGAAATACTTGAAAGAGTGTGGAAGTGCATGAAATTTAATTTTTGTAAGCTGAATCGGTTCATTTATTTATCAAGTTGATTCGAACAAACAAAATATTTCATTTATTTTATAGAACAAAAAAAATATTATATAATTTTTTTTCCATATTATAAAATCTCAAAAAATTACACTGTCATGAAAAACTATGTTTGATTTTTAAAACATTTAATTTGTTGTATTAAAGTTTGCTCACTTTTACCTGCAATGTGGATTTAGCTTTTGTTGCAGGTCTTTCTAGCTCCCGTTTTTGTATATTTTTCCTTTTCTTCACTTTTACCCTTCTCCTTTATTTTCTTTCTCTACAATTTTTACTTTTCTGAAATATTATCAGGGTAGTACGGAGAAAGTATTCTAATGCCTGAGGATAAATAGTAATTTTCGATAGAAAATCTCCCATCTCTGGAGCCCTGATATCGAAAACGTGATAAAATCTTTCACCTGTAGAGTATAACTTCCTGCAACACGTCTGTCCATAGAAATTACAGTTGTTGTGGGTGTCCCTATTATCGGAAAAATGCGTTGACATACAAATCTCCGTCTGTACGTCTGTGATAAATGTTAGTCAGACACGACCGCCATTAAAAGAACAACAGATTCAGACGATTTCTCCAAAACTGATGATTCCCCCAATCGATCTTCGCCGAAGCGAAGGCTCTGCAAAGTTTGCAGAAATAATATTTTGGCTCGGTGGCATTTATATTAAGCTTAACATTTCCAAAATTTTTGTCAAACATGACTTCCAATTGTTTTGGTTAAATAGGTGTTTAAAAAAGCCGCAGGTCTTATTATCGTTGAACTCACTGTAACTTCCAAGAATTCGAATGAGTTGTTAACCAATGAGCGAAATAATGTATTATTATATCACCCACTAGTTTTTTATTTTTCAAGCATAAGCTTGAAATGTGTGAACGTATGCTTGCCCGTTCGTTTACAGTTCCATAACTAATTAATTAGGTTGTGAGAATAGTTTCAATGATACGGGTTATATATACAGCAAATCGTTATTGTGCATTTTGTGCTTTTGGAGACGTCGTTTGCGCGGAGCACTTTGCAAATAGGGCGTTTCTGATTTCATTACACTAATGACTTCGTTTATAAATTCTCAGCCATTCCGGAGACCCGCGTCGTTGGCTTGCCGAGGCTGGATAGCCGAGAATTTTTGTATTCGAGCCGCAGAAGCTTACGTGTACAAATGACTTCGTTTGTCACATCGCCGATAAAATTTCTGCCTGTCAAGACTAATTGGCAGAAGTGTCCAACACAAAAATCCATTACAGTTGCCGCATCACGTTTTCTCTCTGTTACAGAAAGAGTCTGGGGACTAATTTGGAACCTCCTGCCTTTCAACAAGAATTTTTGGAATTATGAAAGTATATTGATAATTTTGACAGGAAAAGTATAATAAAAAAGATTTTTAGGCTGGAGACTGTCTCATGAATGGTAGAGTGATGGCTTCGCCTGCTTCGTGTCTATATATCTTACATCGAACATTGAGGAATCACATCAGGATGCGTCGAGGTGTTTAATATGTCGTCTTGAAGGGATAATGGGAAAATCCAGCCTGCCCATTAACTTTTATGGCAGAGAGCACTTTCGAACATTACCTGAGCCAAACAGAGCAAGAATAAATGCAAATTCAAGTGCTTCTGTCAATAAACTTAACGCTTCAGACCGTATTTGCTTTTAATTTGAAAGGCACTCTCCTTTATTTGTATTTTGATAATACTGCTTTACTTTGTATTTGCATAAGGTGTTATATTTTGTTTTAGAATAAGAAGCAATCGATTGAATTAGGCACCATTCGTATCTAGAAACCAAGCCGTGGGGAAAGTTTACAACCGTTCAAACAAAAAATTACAATATATTATTAATGGAAACAGAATTTAGAAACTCTTTAAAATACAGCGCCGCCGTTACTAATATTTTATTTTGTCGTTTTGAAACCATCAACAGCTATCATCACAATTTCCACAGGATCTGATGTACCTAAGTCATCGAGTGCAAATTGTGAGTACACGTATTGTTTCCGAGCGCTTAGTTGATAGGTACCCACTAGACTGTAGCGATGTTATATCGCGGGAAATAGCAATGTTTCTCCCCCTTTTCCTGGAACGTCTCTATTCGACCTTGCATCTCCGGCAGTGGGGATTTCTCCCTCCAGGTAATCTTCCCCAGCACGTCGGCCACCAAATCTAGGAAACATTCTGAGCTCCCACGTAATTCTACTGAACATGTGTGATTAGTTTAATGTATGTGTAAGTGAGTGTAAATATATTGGTAAGGGAAGGAGGAACACAGGTTGTGAAAGGAAAAGATGGAGCGTGGTTCAAGGACCCGTTTGTTAGGAGATTGCTTACGATATTCCCTTGCCAATTGGATTCACAAAGCCACGATGAAATTGACATGTGAAAAAAAATCAAACAAAACCCCGGCCCCGCTATAATTCTATCCTCTAGGCAAAATTGAATTCGACTCAGCTAGGCTCGTGTTTAAAAATCCGTACGGTTGATTGATTTTTTTAAAATGATTCCCAAGAACATCAACTACCAGCAGTCATTAGTACCTAAATTCGGAGTGCGTATTTTGTTGCTTGGAGTGCGGCGATTTTCCCCCCAACTCTTTGTAGGCAAAGATCCAGCGCCGAACCTACCGTTCCGCAAGCGCAGGGTTTTTACCCAGCCAGGTAAATCTCCCACCAGCGATTGCATCGTCCAACTTGAGCTCCTGAAGGGTCTCCCGGCATGGTGGATGGTGTAGTTATGTTATGTAAGTGTTTATGTAAGAATTGAGGATAGAAAAAAGAAACGGAAGCGCCAGATCGCGTTCGGTCCTGGTCCGTTTTAGGGTTCAGCTCCAGCAACTGATAGGGAAAACCACGGAAAACCTACCAATCGAAGCAGCCAGCCCGCTAGAACTCTCCTCAGACAAGCAGTTGAAATTCAACCTAAGCTAACACGCTAGTGTTGAAATCCCGCCATCGACATAACTCGTAACTAGAACCTCCCAGTCATAGCGACTACTGTGACATCAGTTGATTGCCCCGAGCGAACTCTTCCGGTTCAAAATTCGCGTAAGCCTCTCGTCAGTCCTCGGATTCGAACCCGAGGAAATTACGGTCAACGATGACACACATCTAATTTGCCGCTGCAGTCAGGCAATATACTCGAAGAAGCGCCACAGCAAGATGGCCGAACGTCACATACCAAATTATTTACGTAGGCTGTCCGGGTGACGCCGCGTCCTGCGAAGGTGGCCGACAGTTTCGGTCGCCAATGCCGAAAGAAGGTCGCAGAATGGCGACCGAAACGTCGGCACCTTCGCCATGGACGCGGCGTCACTCCGACAGCCCAAGTAAATACTTGACTCCGGCCGCGGAAGCCCACGCTTATGTCACTACAAGTTGACCGATACGCGGCTTGCATCCGCGAAAGCAAACAATGCATTGACTCCGGCCGCGAAGCCCTACGAACCCATGTAATTGCCCGCTGATTTATCGCAGCGGGAACAAAGTAATCGGACCTGAAGTAAAGTAGTTTGAAATAACTGGACAACACTATTATTTTTTGAATGCCGCAGTGGGGTGGACAGCAGAGGCTGCAATATGTGAATTCATTACCCTTCTGAGCGTCCTTCTCAATTACGCGCACGAGCAAATCAAGCGCCACTCGGCGACCAGCGCCGAACATTCGCTTCAATCTTGCCGGGGGAGAAGCTGGGCGAGAAGCGCCTGCGGCAGGCCTCCAGCGCTCGCCCGTCAGCCCGAAGATCTCCGTGGCGGCGATGGCATCCAGCGGCCCTCGTTTTCCGCGTGCAGGCTGCGGGCGCAGAACGACCTGCGACCACGGAATTCGATTGCGAGGTTCACCGCAGACTGGGCGACAGCAGACCCCAGACGCCCACATCCTATGCCCTGGGTGATCTGGCGTCCGGGTGCGCCGCGTCGAAGCTGTGTTGCCGACGTCTGTGACCAATCCTTTGTTGGTCTTCCTCAGGGCTGTATGCACCCGGAGAGCCCAGATTCACCCACATGCAGCCCACCCATACCAGCTGCGGAGGAAGACCACATAAGGATGTAGAAACGTTCGCAGACACGCCTTCGACGCGCGTTCAACCCGATCACCCAACATGAACTCTGGCCGCAGAAGAACTACGCGACTTCACACATCGCTTTCTACCGCACTGATAGTTCACTTGTTTTACATCGCTATATTATATTTTCCGATTTTGCTTTATTTGGATAGATTGCAAACTTTTACATAGCTAAAAAGGACAAATGTTTAATCTTCCCTATGTTTAGAATGTCACAGAACCAATTTTGCAAAATACACATATATTTACAGCGTTTGAAGATACGCTGCGGAAAGAAGGCAGTTTTGTATGATTTAGGGAAAAAAACATCGACCCAAAGCCTCGTAAATGTCCATTTCTGGACAGAGATTTCCCCCTCAGTCATTCATCAAAAAGATTGAAGACGAAAAACAGAGAATTTGATTATTATATAAAGAAAGAACAGACGCTCGTTCAACTACAACACAAGTATACGCTGCAGCATATCTTTGTGCATAACAATAAACCGATGCGAGCGACAACGCAGGACCTGGGCGACAGACACCTCAGACGTACATCGCTTGCTCCTCAGTGATACTGTTTTACATCCCTATTATATTTTCCGATGCTTTATTTGGATAGATTGCAAACTTTTACGTAGCCAAAAAGGACAAATGATTAATCTTCCCTATGTTTAGAATGTCACAGAACCAATTTTGCAAACTACACGCACCTGGAAGTCCTTGACGAGCACGGCCCGCGCCAGCGCCAGGTCGTGGATCTGCAGCACGGGCTCATCGAAGGCGAAGAGGCCGACATAGGGCTGGGCGCGGTGTTCGTCGTACACCTCCTTGGCCACGACGCCGATGGGCTTCCGCATCAGCACCACGTCCTTGAGGCTGCCCACCAAGGGCAGCGGCCGCGGGCCCGCCACGCCCTTGCTGCTCCAGTGGGCGAAGTGGCGCGTGCAGAAGAGGAAGGCGGCGGCCGCGAGGAGCGCTAGCGCGGCCACGCCGCACGGCAACAAGGCCCACATGCTCGGCGCGCCCTGCCGCCGACCGAAGCAAGCACAAGCGCTCATTAGGGCCCCTTGTCACGTCGCCACCACTACGCGCATGCAAACACCGCATTGGTTGGAATGGACATCTTTCCACGTGTGGCGGCTTTGCGCCTCTGCGGCGTTCGGCGCCGGACCCTTGCCACGAGAAGCGTAGGAGGGCGTACGTGCCTCCGCTAGCGGATCACAGCTTTAGGGTCTCATTCACACGTCGCCACCGCTGCGCGCTTCCGAACACCGCGACTCGTAGCAGAGCATTGGTTTGAATGGAGGTCTTCCCGCGTGCGGCGTTCGACCCTTGCCAAGAGAAGCGCAGGAGGGCGTACGTGCCTCCGCTAGCGGAACACAGCTTTAGATCTCCGTCTCACGTCGCCATCGCTGCGCGCTTCCGAACACCGCGGCTCATTGCAGAGCATTGGTTTAAATGGAGGTCTTCCCACGTGCGACGGGTTTGCGCCACTGCAGCGTTCGGCGACGGACCCTCGCCACGAGAAGCGCAGGAGAGCGTACGCGCCACCGCTAGCAGAACACAGCTTTAAATGATGGTATTCCCACTGCGTCACCGGTCGCTGCGTTTTGCCTGCTCTCTTTGTTCGTCGTCGACGGAGGGTTGGTGAAACCTAACCCTTCAGAACCCACCCCCTTCCACTGCGGGCAGCGGTGAGGCCGTTGCGTGCAGTGGTGGCGGCGTCGGAAGGGCCCAGTTGCTTCACTGAGGCGTGCCGCCGTGGGAAGGCGCTTTTAAAGTCTTGCTGGAATCAGCTCTCTCATTCTCTCCAACCCACCCGCACGTCAATTCCGCCCACTCAACCCCTTCTTCTGCACATCCCGGTCGGCTTAGCTTACCAGTCTCTTTCGCTCTCACCACCTCACCCGCTAAACCTGTCTGCCAGCTCTGCTCGCCCAACCCCAGCCCCTGCCTCTCCCGGTCAGGCTAGTTTATCCGCCTCGCTCGCTCTCCCACCACACACGCTTCACCCGCCTGCTCGCCCAACCTGGCTCTCTCGACCATTCACAAACAGTTTCTACATTTTTAAACAAAGTTTTCTATTATAACGCTCAATTTTTTGTTTACATTTTCTCCTTGTAGGTATCAAGGGACAGTAAAAAAATGTGTACCAGTCCCATTTTCGACAAACTATACGAATGTTTGAAAGGTGCAACATTGCAGAAGGTTAATATGTCAAAACTACAAAATTGAAAAAAAAATGTTTGTCCTACACAAAATCTGTTCTCAAAACTCAACTTTTTTAAAAAGGTCAAATAACTTTTTTTAAATAAAACGAGTAGTTTTCACGTAATTTTAGGTTGGTATTAATGTAAATGATAAAATGAACATTTGTTCATTTTTTGTTCAAAAACTGAACTTTTTTTACTTGTCCCATGTATTAAACAAGGAACGCATAAAAGAATGATGCAGGTCTCATTTTCGCGAAGTTATCTGAATTTTCGAAAATGCATGTTGAAAATATTGAGTTGAAATTATTACATTTTTAAGCGTCGACCTGTGTTCGAAACTCACTGCCTTTTCGTAGCGTAGGGGTCAGGAACACGGCAAGTTAACTTAAAATCCTGAGTTTGAACCTCGGTGCGGAAAAAAGTTTTGCTGGTTGAAAACAGGTTTGCAAGTTTCTGTAAGAGTAGTATTATATAGCTGAGCATTAAAAAATAATGCGAGAAAGTATGTGCTATTGTCGCTCCATTAGTTAATATCAGTAATGAATATACTTCATTGTATTATTATTGGGGATTACGGTATGAAAAATCCATATAATAATAAAAATGTACTCAGATTCTGTGTGTTGTTACTGAAAAATTGAAATAATTTAGATTAAGAACATTACCTGCAAGAGCAAAACGAAGGTTCACAAAATGTTTCAGCGTGACAGCTTGCAGACACGAACTGCGCGTATGTGTAGGCTAGAACTGAGAGACATTCAAAATCGGTTTCTTTTATAATGCGTATCGGAAATCCAGGATTTGCACTTGAAATGTTTAGCTCTAGATGCTTTGATATTTTAAGTAATTTCTTCCAGAATTCCCTTCACAGTCACAGCGCACAATCTCACGCTTAAAATTATCGCATACAATTAACTCTTGTGACCTTCAATACATAATCACTTTTTTAAGTTGAATGTAATTGTAAAAAAATACTGAACTGTTATGCTGCCGTAATTGAGTATATCTAAATTCTTTGATATTTCCGAAGAATTTTCGGTATTCGTCAATGACCGCACTTTCTTTGAATACCTTTTTCCAGTAGCACGCCACACACAGTTTTAACCGTTTTTGTCTTTTAATAAATAAATTCCACAGCACCTTCAATTTTTTTTCTCTTTCTCACTCTGCCTCCCGTTTCATTCCTCTCACAACAGCGCTGGTGTAGCGATTAAAGAGGGTGGTCGATTGGCCATGGTTTGCACTGCACGGATTCAACAACACTAGCTTATTTTAGTAAATATCTCTAGAGGCGCAGGCATGAATCAGTTGCAATATATGTTACAACATTATAATATTGCATATATATATATAAACAGCAACATTCTTCACAATCACCTATAACACTTCTGTCTTTGTATACAGGAGTAGAACTGTAAGAGAATTGCACTTCAGAATATAGTGACATCTTCGCACGCCATCGCAAGACTACGCACACACGACCTTATTTCACGAGCCTGGCACACATTCGATGGCCGCTACATCTTTGTGACGTCACCAGACAACCGAATTGAGCTCGCGTGACCAACCCGTGCTCAAGGTCGCCCGGGAAAATAACAATCGAGTTTTACAAAATGTCAGTTTTGCGGTCATCTAATGCGGTGTGTCTGTTCAGATGAATCCATTTCCAAAACGGCAACCCTTTCCGGAAATTCAAAATGCTTTGGATGTAACAATTCATAGTTATGTAAACTGGCTTCAAATTATATTGTTGTTCCAAATACATATTTTTTGTAAAAGTATTGTTAAAACCAAACGTAGTTCAACGCACGGTGTGGGGTCATAACGCAAAAACCCCTGATAAATCCATGCATTACAGAAATCAACGTGGAGAGTGTTTTGAAAATGGCAAAGCATAGAAGTAAAACCTGATCTCTGACTAAATTTAAAACTTTTTCTCATGAGACCAAATTCAACTTTCGCGGCTCAAATGCTCAGACATATGTGCGGCGTACAAGAATAGATCTTGATACAAGGAATCTAATTTCCACACTGAAGCAAGGTGGAGCACAATTGCCAGTATTATTTGCATGTGTATCGCCAGCTTGCCGGTAAAAAAGCTCCACTTCCTTGCCAAATATCGCTTAGTTATACACCAAGTGTGTATTGCATATAGTACGAAATGAAACATTAAAAAACTATAAACAGGAGTACCACTAGAACATATCAGATTTATTTGTTTCGAACGTTTTAAAATAACAGTTTTTTGAACATAAATTTAATACATTATAATCATTTACATTTAATAAATATTTCATCGCTGCTAATAATATACTGCTAATAAAAGCGAATCATTTTCACTACTTTATTAGAATATTTTCCATAGACAATTTTGTAAATAAACTTGGACTTAAAATAAAATTTTAATATATATGTTTGCGACGTAAAGGACTTAAAATGAATTCAAATTATGTTTTCAAAAACTCAATAAATTTCTGTGAAAAAGAGCTTTAAGTTTAGAATTTACAGTAGCGCTTCAACGCCATTTTCTTAAAAATGGCTTCAAAGTTTTCAAAGAAAGTTGGCATTTAGGACGAGGTTTTACTGGTCTTAAATATTCTGAAAATAATATTTCCATTCTACTATTAGGAAACAAAAAAATTAAGACAAATTCAAAAAAAATGTACTTTGGGCGGCGATGGATGGCAGTTGGCAAGAGTATGTGGCAAGTCGTAGTATCTAGCCGAGACCAAAGAAAATAGAAAACTAATACGGGAAAGTCCGTGCCATTCTGTATTACTTGTTTATTTTCACCTCTGGTTGCAGCCCCCAGACGATGAACATTTTTTTATACTCTTATTTATTTTTTGTGCGCTAACATACCTGAGTTCAATTAAAACTCAATAAAAAAGTACTTTTTCATGCCCTTTTTCTTATTTCATCTAACGTCGTTCCTGGATATTTTTTTTTTATACATGGAGTCTCGATGATAGTTTTCTTGACTTCTTTTAGCGTCAAAATATTTATTTATACACTACATATTTCACTAAAATTATTCGCTCGAGGATAATTTTCTCTAAAACACGCCTGTCGAGAAAATGTTATGCTTTTTAATAGCCTTTGTGCATCAAATGAAGAAAGATAACTATTTTATACGTTATACCAAACCCTCAATTAAAAATTCCGGAAGTGTACTACTGCTGGTTTGGGAATTATTGCCAGACCTGCATGGAAGAGATTTCAGATGAAAAAAGACGCTCACAAATAATACATAGATAAGATGTTGGGCATTCTTGTTACTCAAAACACAATGGTAAATTTCGTGCATATAACTTTGAAATTGTGCGTTCTTGGGACTTTTTTTGGCACTGAGGGAAACGAGTTAATTGTTTTTCTTTTGGTAAATACAAATGAGACCCTTTTGAAAGTTCTATTACTGTTTTGGAAGATTCTCTAATCTCGCAGCGCGAGCTACCAGTAATGCTGGAAGTTGAATTCCTGTGTGAATATTTTTTTTAATTTTCAAACAATGATATAAAAAGTTATATTTTCTGAAGATTTATTTTATTATAATTACATTTTTTATAAAAATCTGGTGTTCATTTCTGTTTCAGTTTCTGCTCTTCAGGGTACTCTAGGTGTTCAGAACAGTTTTAATGCCCTAGAACGCTTCGATTTGGCGTTATTCTAGTTTTGTATAATATCAGAGCTGTATTGTATGGCTATCGTTTTGGCTTGTCGTAAATTGCGAGTTGCATTTGTCATGAATATTTAATTTTGTTCA